TGTGTAATCTTAAAACCATGATATAATTAATGTATACTGCTATATATGACTCTCTCGTCGTTTTAGTGAGATACTTTTTGTGTTTTTGGTTACGATAACTGTTTAACGTTGCTAGATCTATATAAAAGAATTTACCTTTTTTTCTTTTTTTTTTCTTGGCTCTTCAGCGTTGATACTTTGGCCAGCCTCGGTAAACATGGCGGATTATCATTTTCAGCGGAATTTTTTTATGGGGTTGTGTGATATCTTCACGAGAATGAAACTACACTGGATTGACGTTATCATTTTTACGGTATTCCCAATTTCTAAATAAACATTTTGAAATTAATCTTATAGTATTTTTAATTGTATGGTGTGCTACTATTCATTAAATATGTGCAGAAATTCTCAGCGCCCACTTCCTTTAGATCTGGAGAAGAATATACATAATAAAATATTTGTTTGCGTGAATCATTTACCGATTTTATTTATTTCTACGTAAAAAAAAAATATAAATAAATAAACATTTCTCACTCTCTAAGTCAATATCTGACTCTACATCAGCTAGATTCAGTTATAAAATTTCGGGAGATTGATATTACACAATGTTACTTGAAATGTGGTAGCAGAACTCGAAAAAGGGATTCGATGCCCTGAACTTTTACCAAGCATGGAACGTGTAAATATTTCACCCACAAAACAGACACGTAAAATATGTTTAATTTAATTTCCGCTTTTCTTTCTGACAGAAAATAAATGCTAGATACAAATTAACTAAAAATGAGTGCTATACGAAAACAAGAAATGAAATGACAGGAAAACATTTTGGCGAAGAATATGGATGAATAATACGGAAGAAAGGATTTACCTGAAGTTCTTTTGGTACACCAAGTCAAAAGTCGTACCACAGGTCGACTCTTTTATAATACAGGTTGACTCTTTTATAATACAGGTTGACTCAAAGTCAAACGTCCTGGGTATGATGATAAACTAAATCTACGTCCTGGGTATGATGATAAACTAAATCTACGTCCTGGGTATGATGATAAACTAAAACGTCCTGGGTATGATGATAAACTAAATCTACGTCCTGGGTATGATGATAAACTAAATCTACGTCCTGGGTATGATGATAAACTAAATCTACGTCCTGGGTATGATGATAAACTAAATCTACGTCCTGGGTATGATGATAAACTAAATCTACGTCCTGGGTATGATGATAAACTAAATCTACGTCCTGGGTATGATGATAAACTAAATCTACGTCCTGGGTATGATGATAAACTAAATCTACGTCCTGGGTATGATGATAAACTAAATCTACGTCCTGGGTATGATGATAAACTAAATCTACGTCCTGGGTATGATGATAAACTAAATCTACGTCCTGGGTATGATGATAAACTAAATCTACGTCCTGGGTATGATGATAAACTAAATCTACGTCCTGGGTATGATGATAAACTAAATCTACGTCCTGGGTATGATGATAAACTAAATCTGAGATAAATACTTCTGATCAGGAGGTTTTGAGGAGCGTGGAAACACCTCTTAATTGATGATGCTACCAGGTACGCCATGATCCGTGGTGGTAGCACCTGTCAAGGTCCCAGTTATGGGCAAATAGTTAACTCCCCTAAAAGGGGTCAAAACACTATGAAAGTATAAAAAATAGATTTTAATACCAGCAATTTTTTTTTTTTTTGAAAATTGAAAAAGAAAAATATTACCAGAAATACGTTTCTTGA